TTATGAATTCAAATGCGTTTTGTCGAAAACATGCATAAACATACGTACACTTTTACTAGTTTAGTAGGAAACCTCGATGTTTTTACATTTTATAATCAAAGGAAGGACATATTTAGGTTTTGAAAACGTTTCCAGTTTCCCGAATAATTTTGACTCTGAGCAACCATAAGACAGGGCGAGAACTGTTGCAGGCTTGGGTGTCTGACACCAACTGTATCAACAGACACGTTGACATACAACCCTGCTATCACGCGCTCCGTTTCTGCGGCCAAGGGGCAAGACCCAATTTTCAGTCAAGGGTGCACGCAGTCACGCCACCGTGAGACGGCGTGGGACTCAGCTTATCGCGAATACCACCCTCTGCACTCATATCCCCCCTTCATGGCCTAACTACAAAAACTGCTCATTTGTTGTCGCATTCTCGCAGTCTCTGACGATGGCCTCCTGTACAAGACCGAAAGCTCAGACTAATACACTTTCTGTCCCGGAGATCGTGGGTTCATCTGCCTTACAACGAGAACCTGGGATTCTCATATTCGCTCCCATATCCAAAGCTGTATGAGTGGACATTGCACAGTCTTAGAAGGCTCATAGTTAGAAACCGTTTTGAAACCCAAATACACACTTTCCTCTTGTTTATAGTGTGGCTTCTCTCATAAAAATTGTAATAAACGAGGTTTGCTACCAATTTTGTAAAAGAAAACATATTTTTATCAATGTTTTCTTTAAAATATATCGAATGCTTGAGTCCATTTAAAATCATTTTGAAAAATACGTCACATAATTACTCATTTTTTACCGAGTGCGCTTCCAAAATGACGTCGAAAAATCTGTAGTTCCCATTCAATATTTGGTTACTAATTTTTATTCATTCTCATATTTGAACTGAACGGAAGCATTTCACTCAGTATATCCTCTTATGGGGTATTAATTAAATTAACGGAAGGGCGAAGAAAACTCAGTAAATTACGTTTTTTACGATAAACTTTTTTGAACCTTCAACTGAGACTGAAAAAGGTGCTTTTGATGAGTGGAATTTTGTTAAGTTCCCCCTGAGGCCAAGATTCACATTTATATTTCAACAGACAAAATATTAGTAGAACCAATAATGAATCTAAAGCTTTGAAGGGTCCAAATTTTAGTTTAGAAATAAGTCACAACTAAGTGATGGAACCAATATCTTCCGTGTACAGGGATTCGAAAATCCCTTCGACGCTTTGTTATTAGTGTTTTTTCAAATGTGACTCCAAGACTTTCTCTGAAATGACCAAACAATAAACATAACTCAAAATTTCATGGAAAATTGAATTAGATTTTCGCGATATGCTTATCTTCCTTTAATTCTGAACCCAAACAGTCGCTCTTTCTTCTATTCCTGATTCCATATTTATTATTTTGAAAGGCGTCTACCTAGGTTATTCCAAGGAAAATCTTGCACTGAAACCGTCAGACTATACCACTTTACCTCGGCTTCTCCACTTCCACCTAAGGTTCAGAGCAATCAGTCTGAAGCACCCTCCAAACACCGGACCAAAAAACAGCCGAAACTATTTATTTTACAGTTGCCTTTTTATGCTTCCTTGTTTTTGTCAATTTTGCGTTTTAAGAGGAATAAAAACACTGCTAACACTCCTTTACCGTCCATGGATCACTAGTTAAGGGCTGACACGGCAGTAAAAAAATAATTCTCGGATGTACACTGAGTGATCGATCTCATTAAATGTTGGTTGAAATTCTAAAATTCGTTTTCGATTAGGAAGGATTACTTGGTCGCGGTTGTCAGATTGATTACCTTGTGGCATACTCTTATAACATTTTGGACTTGGCAGGATGTCGGCTTTTAAATGCATTTCTTTTTAATCTCCTGTAGAAGACGTGCTTGGCAAAAGAGGACTACTTATTAGCATGCATTTTTCCCATTGATTTTCGATGTTCGAGCAAATTCAAATATATTTTATAGAAACCATAGACAAAAATATGTTTTCTATTAGTCAATCAATAGAGAAGCACGTCTTAGTTATATTTAATACTTAAGGATGGAGTATAATTAGGTTTTAAAAAAGTTTCTAATTATGAGACTTTTTAAGACCGCGAAATGCCCATTCACATAGCATCGTACCTGTCCGTTTACCACTGCTCCACATGGAATGTACAACATAGTCCGCATCCATTGCAAAATTTTATGGGCTCTGTATGATATCTCTTTAATGGCATAGAAAACTATGTTATTTTCTTTACGCGGAACGAATGCACCTTGTAGAGCGAAATCACTAAGCGCTAATGCAATGAATGATCAGGCTCCAAGTTATTCGGCAATTAGAAAACTTTTTTAAATCCTAATTATACTCCTTCCTTAAGTAAAAAATAAATAAAAAAGAAGTCGTGATTCTCTATTGATTGACTAAAAGAAAGCATATTTTTATTTATGGTTTCTATAAAATATATTTGAATTTGCACGACCATGGAAAATCAATGGGAAAAATGCATGCTGCTTAAGTAGTCACTTTTCTACCGAGAGCTTTCTACAGGAGATTGAAAAGAAATGCACTTAAAAGCCGACATCCTGCCGAGTCCGAAGTTTTATAAGAGTATGCCTTAAAATAATCAGTATTACCACCGCGACCAAGTATTCCTTCCTAATCGAAAATGCATTTCAGAATTTCAGCCAACATTTCATGAGATCGGTCACTCACTGTAGTCATAAGTACATTATTTCTACGTGTAAATAATATCTACTTCCAAGAAATTACTGTTGAAAGTAGACTGGTAGCCTTAATAAGTGTGGTTAATGCCTAGTTTTGGGAAGTTGAGTGATTTGCCGGTCACGGGTTATGCAATAGAGTGAGGACTCATCTTATTTTTGTCGGGATCAGAGTCACTTTGCATAGGACAGATTGAAATTGCCTTATATGGCCTTGTTTTGATAAATCCGTTTGCAGTAGTCAGCAGGAAGCCTTTGCTACAAACATGGGTGAGTGTCACATGTGTGTGTGAAACGTGGCAAAAACAACGTCAGAAGGTCTGCCGTGAAATTAACGTAGCCCCAGCTTAATAAATTCCGAAAAATTTTTCAAGTCGCATCTATATAGAAAGAGGTAAGAATGAAAATAAGGCTCGCTGAATCAAAGCCATTATTTTACCGAGGTTTCGGAGGACATGACCGGATCTCCTGTAAAAGAGTTTGTAGAGAACTTTAGCCTTTGTTTTTAAAAATTGGTTGAATTTGTATTTCATGGGAAGACTTATTTCTTCTTCTTCTTCTTCTTCTTCTTCTTGTCAGCCCGACTCTTGACTTTCAAGTGTGCAAACCGGTAATTGAAAGGTTTTTAAGGCAAATTCATAGCATGACTGTTTCTGAAACATGCATTAGGGACATTGATTTACAACACAAAATCCAGCCACAAATTTGTTTTAGGTTGATAAATGTTTGTTTGATATTAGCTTATATTATTATGGCTAACATTCTGCTCAAAAAGTTACTCATCCATTTCGAATTTTTGCCTACATTTCAAAAACTATTTTGGGCGGGTTTAAACTAACTGACTTATCGGCTGTTGGTTTGTTTAAAAATCGAAATCTGACTGTGTTTCATATATGTCCCCATATTTTCGTTGAGGGTTGATTGTCATTTAATGTACCGACAGGTCCTTAAGTCTTTACCACCGATACTCTTTGTCCTATGCACTCAATGTTTGGAGCACTGAATCCTGCCATGTTACCTCCCGTCCGGCGTCATCGGTCGATGATTGAATAGTACCCCCTATCATTGACGTCCATTTCTCGTCAGTACTGTTTTTGATGATAAACACCTGCATGAATTCAAAGGCCCAGAACGATATACTAATTGGTACGCGTCTCAACTGGTATAAACATTTTTTCATGAAATCAATGTGCATGAAGTTTGCAGATGGAGTGAACTGACCGTTTTTTGGTTTTATTAAAGTGGCCTGTTTCCGAAAGGGAGTAATGTGTGTTTGCTTTTGTGTGCCTGCAGGATCTACTGAAGGAGCCCGCACCCCAACCCCTGTAGCAGCCTCCATCTCTAAACTCCCCGTGCTTCAACCAGACAGTGACCGAGATTATATGGTTAGAGAAACTTCCTTGGATCAACGCTAATCTGCGAGTATTCTTCCTTCCCCCTGTTTTCCGATTCGTATGCGCTCACTGACGCTCTTCGTTTTTCCTCTCTCCGTCTCCACTCATTCAATATACCGTTTATATTATGAACTATCTTAGTTGTTTACGTTACACTTGTTTGTCTGAATTACTGCCTGCCGTATGATGCCGATGCCAGTCCGGACCAACCCCTGTTTTCTGTGATTCTATCATGACAAAGAAGGTTAACCTAGGGCCGGTCTCCCCGACTGGACAGCCAGACGGACCGCCCACTACAGCTTCTTTTCCGTGAACGGCAAAATTACAAGCAGTCAAATACTATAAACCTGCCTCCGCCATAATTCCAAACTGCTGTCATAAAACCCCGATATAATGTAGGTAAAATCTACTGTTTTAGTAAGCAAACGAATGATTAATGCTAAGATGAGTGAATATGTTCATTATTTGACTGAAGTGAATTTATGAGGTTTATACATGTTTCTTAGTGACTATAAGCCACCACGCAGAACATTTGTATTTTGAACCAGAAGATGTCTCAGATACAAAAAGCGAAGACTAAGTTGTGGTGTGATTTTTTTAGCGGTGTACGCGACAATCGTGATAAACAAGTTAGCTGAATTCACGTATCTACACCTGATATTTCTAGCCTACATATAACGCCGCTGCATGCGCTGCGCACATCAATCAAGAGTTAAAAATAAGTGCGATTTTCCGTCAAATTTTCTCACCTTCTAGTTGAATACTGGAAGAGGCTCAATTAACAGAAACTCTTCTTGGTCATTGTTTTCGAAAACATGACGCCATTTGTGGACTGCTTCTGAGCTTTATATGCAGAACTAGGGCTCCGCGATTCAAAACTGGCTCTGCGTCCCAGATAATCAAATATGAGATATGGGTCTGCTGCAGTGTTTCACTGCATCTTGCTTGGAGCCCTTTCCAGTGGTCTGTGTAAATTTATGCATATAAAATTAAAACAAGAATTAGTTTTACTTTTATTAACTTTTATTTTTTATCATAGCACTTGCAAGCTACTGCCAACACGACTTAGCCTGCTAAAATATTTAATAACCGAAAACTTATACATCATTACATATCCGCCCTCGCCCACATAAAGATTTTGAAATCTACGTTTAATCGACTGTTATGATAAATAAAATAGAGCTAAACAGTTATTAACCTATGAGAATAGGCAATATTTAAACAAGTTTATTAAATCTATGGGGATCGCTTCTCGAAATATTTAATATTTGGTGAATTGTACTGCAGTATGTGGGTTGAAGTTAGCCATAATCTTGGTAAGCCGATGGCGTCAAATGGCTTTGAGTAAACTGTTTTTAGCTAGCCAAAGTACACCAGCTTTGCACTTTTGAAATACGCCGAAAAAATAAAAAGTTGTTTTCATCAAACAGAGCTATTATTGATATCTGAAAGGTAAACGACTGACCAAAATGATTAGTGACGACTTTAAAGCTGCAATATCCTCAATAGAGTACGTTTTTAAGAAAATCCACAGTCAAAAATCCCAAAATGCGTCTGTTTACTGTGCCTTTACATTAATATATGCTTGACTGCAAACGAAATATATTGTAAAGGAAATAGAAAAATCTTTCAGAAGCGGATTTGTGATGCACCAAAAACCTTCTTACTAGCGATATTTCTTAAAGCGTATTTACTATAATAGTTTTTTTGTAAGAATTCGTTATCAGATCACGTCTATTCAAAATTTATACTTAAACAAATGGGGCCTTTTAGTTTTTCGAGATCTTTTTAATTCTCGAATAAGTAAGAGCCTGATCTCCTGTCAGAATAGAGCTTAAGGCATTCAATCAACAAGCTGTGTACCTACAGTGTAAGAAAATGTATACAATCGTTTAACCGACTAAGAAGATATCACGCAAAACTTATAAATAATTGAGAAGGACGTAGGGTGCTTTTATACTCCTAAATATCATTGTAACACATACAGGCGCGAGAAAACCGTATTCGGTAGAATATACATATTTAGGTAGTGTGGATTTTTTTAACTCTTTCAAGTGCAATCAAAAAATAAAAGCATTTTTAAGAAAGTCTGCACTGAAATAATTTCCATAAAAATGTGGCATTAATTCATATCCTTTCCAAATTTATTCTTGAGAATGTGGTAACGTTTAGTTCCAAGATATCTTTTTAATTCTTTAATAAGCTTGAGCTTGGACTCCCGTCGAGTTTGCAGTTAGGGCTTTCAGTTTACAAGCCGCATGTTTTCTGTGTAAGGAAAGTCAACATTGCTTTGACCCATTAAGTAAACATCCTGCGGCTTTTGCGAAAGTTTGAGGCGGATTTAGATTTCCCTGTGTTCTTAGTAAGTAGCATTGATAACTAGGCGGATGCGATGTAACCTGAATTTTTTAAAACCACATCATGCATTCTGTGTTAGTATAAATCTAGAAAACGCGAATGGCTGCCAAACAAATTATAAAAAAAGTATTTTAGGTCTTATTTTGCCAAAATACGTTGATATCTATAAAGGCATCGAAAATCAGTAGAACGAAGGGATGCTGCCTAGGTACACCTTTCTACATAGCGTGGTTTTGCAGGCGAGCAGAAAGGAGTGCATTCGAAAGCCAGAATCCTATAGTGGCCTAAATATCAAAAACCATTTCAATTCTTTAATAAGTTTGAGCTTGGACTCCCGTAGAATTTGCATTCACGGCTTCCAACTTACAATCTGCATGTTTTTCGTGTAAGAAAAGCCCATATGTTTTTGAGCCATTAAGAAAATATCAGGCAGCTTTTGCGAAAGTTTGAAACGGATTTAGATTGAATTTTGTTCTTAGTAAGTAGCATTGATAGCCGGACATATGCGATAGTACTTAAATTTTTTTAAATCACATTATTCATTCTGTCTTGGTTTAAATTGAAAAATAGGGAATTGCTACCAAAAACATTATAAAAAGAGCATTATTGGGATTTGTTTTGCCAAAATACATTTATATCTATAATAACATCGAAAATCATTCGAAGGAATGGATGCTGCCCGAGTACTCGTTTCTACAAGGCGTGGTTTTGCAGGCGAGCAGAAAGGAGTGCATTCGAAAGCCAAAATCCTAGGATGTCTGAAACAACAATGGAGGACTCTGTCAGTTAACCACTATTACAAACTCACCTAAGTGGCCCTTTCTGGTAGTAAATGCAGTTCAAGATTTCAGTCAACACTTTATGTGATCGGTCATTTGCTCCTAGTGCTTTTGCTTTGATGGCCGTTATGACCCGCTTCATAAAAGGGAAATTTTAAGGAAAATTTAGCGTCGGTCGAATGGTAAATGACAGAATAGTTTCCAGCTTCCTTTACGTATGAAAAAAACTTGAATGTGCGAGGAATTAGGAAACACGCAGCGCTGATCCTAAAAGGGTTTCCGATATGGCGTATATTCAGTCCCATACGAAGCAGTCAAGGAACACATATCGCATATTCACTGCATGGGAAACCGACATCAGACCAGCCGAACTTTGATGTACTCGGGAGCTGCTAACTATGGTAGACATGTGGCGGCCTACTTAACGCATCCTGCACAATCCACTGCTTTTATCTGATTTGATCTCTGACGATGGATTCTAATGGGAAACCGCAACGTTAGGATTACAAAGCTCTTGTTCCATCAATCATGATTCCTTCTTACAGGGTACTTCCTAGAACTCGCCTCTTTGTTTCTATTGGCGCACAATAAGAATTATTGTTGAGTATGAAGTAAAAGATGTTTGAATACAGGTGCATCCGACAATCGATAGATTAGAACGGTGGATGATTAAGACGAATAACGGCCCCAAACATCTAATATTGTTATCAGATCTCACGGGGAAAGGCAAAGAGCTTATTACATGCGTTACTATACTTTGTTTGGCAGTCCACACTACGAAAAACATTAAAAATACAATCGGATGTGAAAGCCGAAAGTTTGCTTAACTGACAAAGAAGGTCGGAAAGATTATTAAATGCCTTCTGTCGTTAGACTGCAAACGGCTGCTATGAAGTCGAACGCGTAATTCATAGAAGGCTGATTAGGTGACTGGCAAATGTTAAGAACTCGCATATGACCAACCTGAATGCAGATGGATTGGAGTTTCCTAGATTGAACTAAAAATGTGAACGCTTTTTCGCCAGATCCTTGTACTTCAGAGACACTATTAAACTTCACAGCTTCCCCTGTATGTATAACAAGTTTCTACGGAACCTATGCTCACCTAAACCATTTCTCCCAAATTTTAAAGCTATTCAAGTTGAGCCTGGGTTTCCTACTGACTGTGGAGTTCCCACCGTCCGACGGAAACAGAATGAGGAGGCCGAGGAGAGAAAAGTCCGCGCGACACCTCACAGCTGGCCCTGGCATGTAAGCAACCTCTTTTTATGCCTTCCATATCGCAGCGACGCAAATAAATATAAAAGTCAAATAACGTAAATGGCGCCTTACACTGGCCAGCTTATGTACTTTATCTGCCTAAGCCCGCCGAATGACAATCTCATATTAGGCAAGAGCTGTGTAAGCTTTAGAGTACAATTTGCAGTAAGTTTGTAAATTGGTATCTTGCATTTGTTTTACATTTGAACCGAGAGTTCGCTGATGCGTCAGTGTTTAACTGTAGATCAGAAGCATAATCCCCCCAAGTCGTAGACAAAAATATAAGAAAATTGGTGGCAGAGTGGCGCTCACCGATCGTGCTTACGGAACTCTCTTCTTCCGTTTTGCCTTATGGGTACTTTCTCGAGGCCGACAAACAGCCACACAGTGGCGCATGATATAGGTAGAATGTTATTACGGAAAAGGACAACGGAGAATGGAATGGCCACTTCTGGGTTACCAACCGTCCCCAGCCAGTCATATCCGACCCGGGAGTGTGTAACACCTAGTAACATCAAGCTGACCTGTTTGGAAAATTTATTATTTGTCTTAAAAATCATATTAAAGATTTCATACTCAATGGTAGAATTTATTTATTTAAAGCATTAATGACCATGACAGGGAAGACCAGAATGACCATTTCCAGTTCATCAACCATCGTCTGCCAGCCATAGATAACTTCAAGGACTGCGACCCCTTGGGCTCGATCGCGCGACTTGTTGGTTAAAATTCCAACGCCCTAGAGACTGAGCCACAGGCTCGATGTTCTGTCAGTTCCATTTGGGTAAAGCCAATGGTTAAGGAGGGCGCTCAATAACTTCAAACCATACCAGCCTGCCACTCTGGAAGTTAATCCACGACTTAAAATATTCCAGACCACGCACTCAAATGATGCAGCGGAAGAGTAAATGGGTTTTTGTCTTTGTCAAAAGTGTGTTTACTGAACAGAATCATTTCATATAAGCGTTCTAAGATCAACTGTAGACAGCAAAGTAACATTTGAGCCTTCGAAATTAAACGACATTTATTGCGAGCTCCAAGATGAATTTTATGTGTCAGAAGGCATGATCGTTGGAAAATTGTCAGGCGAGTTAGGACGCTCCAGATAGAGACACAGACGTCCTCTCGTTCGCCTGTCGAGCACGACAGAGGAACCCCACGCCGTCGAATCATACGCGACTCTCTAGCTGCGCCAACCCACGATGGTCTGGACAAGAGCTTTATTAGCCTGACGTTTCGGATTCCTACTCGAATCCATCATCAGAGACAAAAGAGCAGAAACCCGTTTCTGCTATTTTGTCTCTGATGATGGATTCGAGTAGGAACCACGATGGTCTGCCCATTACAGCGCTTAGAGCGTAACCAATGGCTGCACATGAACCAGTCTGAGACATGACCTGTCAATAGGCCGTCAAGGGCAGAATTGTTTAGACCAATTCTCTGTCTTTCTGCTTGCCTCCTGTTCCACTCGACAACTGGCAACATGACAGTGCGACCGTAGTTTCCGACAATGTCTACCGTGTACTTCACAGGCGCGTCCGGTGTCAAGACTGGAGGCGGGAAAGGGAGCAGAAGGCCTGCACGGTGAAAGCGCGCAATTTGGACGTACCGCCACACCCCCCAGTCCAAACCAGGACTTTGCACAACAAGAGGCTCGAACCCCACGGAGCGAGATTATCATTAATGATCTAGATTGTTTACTGATGAGGAAAATGCGTTGCGACGTCTTACACAGACCCCATCCCCTGTCAGAGCTGGTCAAATGTATAATGCGGGGAATGGACACAGTCGGTGACATTGTCAATGATCTCGTCTACGCGTGCCAAACACACGATCTAGACGCGGGTGACATGGGTTTCACATGCGTTTCGAGAGAGCCTTACTAGCGCCATGGTACCGACGGTAGCAACAAGCCCCTCGCAAGTTGCAAGCACTTGGTGTATGGCGAGTAACGCTTTTTTCTGCCCTTCAAGGTGGGTTTGTGGTCGGACCGAAGGGGAGAACATCCGTTCTGTGGAGGAACGCTCATCAGCCGCTCTTTGGTCGTAACTGCGGCCCATTGCATCGGTGCTCTCATGGGTTGCAATGCATTACCAGTAGGAAAGCCATTCAGCATACCAGCCGCAACGGGTGACCGACTTCAGGTCCTTGTCGGCGCTCACGACTACACAAAGGCTGATAAATTGAATACGTTGCTTTCCGTCCGGCACGTTGTCGTTCATCCGAAGTACAATGACAGCCTACGAGAAGAGGGCTATGACATAGCGTTGCTGAAGCTTTACGAAAAGATAAATCCAGGTATGTTGTTACAGTATGCACGCGACTGTTTCGCTATAATGATATTAAACATTAGTCTAAAAAATCCTTAGAAATTCATACGCTCACATCATGAAAGTTTTTTTTGTCTCCACTAACAAAACAGGTCAATAAGAACGACCCCTTGCTAATTCAGGTGGCTTTTTGTTAAATTGGGGAAAAGACAGATACGGTTGCATTCTAACTTATCCGAAACCTATTCGCGGAACTAATCTTTACCTTAATCATAATTTCCCTGAAATTTGGCTCATAGTTACAGTTATTACGCGAAATTGCGTTTTCGCCTGCTCTTCCAGGCCTGAGGTGCATATTAGAGATTGCTACCAAGCGGACCTGCTCAAATGCAACTTTACTGATCTGGCTTTTGAGAAGGAACTTAAATTGCTTTCATAAGCTAAACAGAGCTGTTATTCTTTTAATCGTTCCGAAGCCGGAGAAATCAGAGCCATAGGCCAATGTCGAGAAGGAGGGTAGTCATCGCGATAATCCGAGTTTAGGACGACTTCGTGTATTATGAGAAAACGATTATTTTATCGATAAACAACTGCTCTGCTCTATGGCATCTCGGTAACTGCAGTATTAATATATCACAATCATTAGCGCTTATGCGACAATTCCAGCGGTAAGAACGTGTCTAGCTCCTGTAAAATAGCAAATGTAACTAGGCGTTTTAGGATGTCGGATTCCTTGTCCTTTACGCAGAGCGCATGCGATATCGTAAGAACTTTTGTTTTATTTTTTAACGTCGTCAAGGCGAGAGAATGCGGCATATCTGCTTTCCCCCTAAAAGTGTGACGCTACAGCGTGGCTCCATTTGCTACTTCGCCGGTTGGGGAGGACTTTACAAGCAACGCTCACCGGGACAACTGGTTTATCCGAAGACACTCAGGGAGGCTGAGGTTCAAATAGAACTCGATGATCCCTGCATGGAAGTCTTTGCACCTTACTACCGCGATAAACATTCATGTACCAGAACAAGAGGCACGGTACGTCCTAATGAATGTACAATCTATGCAATTATACCAGCTACTTAATTGCGGTAAGTAAACAATAATTTAGTACACCAAGAAAACAGCCTTCCTGTCCCGTGCAAGGAAAAGCCTTACCGGTGACCAGAAATAACACTGCCTCGAGTGTGAAAAATGATTGAAATTCAACTCTTTGCATTAGCCACTTGGGATGTTTCATCTCCTCGTCGCCGCATGCATGCGGATCTAAGCATGCATCCAGTCTGACCTTTCTGGCACTCGATCCCATACAATACCACAGATTGCTCTTTGGGATGGAGCCGGAGTTAAATCCTCAAACAGGGGACATATACTGCACCAAATGCAGGAATTGTCCTCAAAACTATACAGGTTGAACTGGACGCACACTTGGATTTCGTGTACATGAGCATAAGCTGTCTGTGCATCGAGGTGGAGAAGTATCGCGGGTGGCTGCACACACCTAAGAACTAAGCCTTTGATTTAAGTTCATACATAATATGATAATCGCCCATGCAAAGTACAAAATATGTCAAGAATTAATTAAAGCTCAGAGGTCAGACCAGTACTCAGTCCAGCATAATATCTGTCCGATGCCAAAGTAGAGAGTACTGAGCAATAGATCGATGATTGACTACCAGGCATTCATGCTCAAGTTTGATGTTGGCAGAAATACACAAAATGTTCCGATGATTGACCAGTTCCTATTTAACTTGTATATATATAGGTAGAATGGCATTACCGACAAAGACAAGAGAGACTGGAATGGCCATTTCTGGCATATTTGCCGTCGTCAGCCAGCCATACCCAAGCCCGAAGTGTGGAACACCCGAGCCTCGAACTCGCGACCTGTTTGTTCAGACGTTCACGCCTCTACCCACCGGGCCACGAGCCCGTAATTATGTTAGTTATCGATCGGGAATATACAAGGTTAGGGGGCGCTCACCGATCGTTCATACGGAACTCACTCGTTCCGTTGTGCCTTAAGGGCTCTCTCTCGGCTATTCCAGTCTCCCTTGTCTTTGTCGGTAATGCCATTCTGCCTAAGTATCATGCGCCGCTGTGCGGCTGCGGGTTGGGTTCGAGAGAGAGCCCTTAAGGCACAACGGAACGAGGGAGTTCCGTATGAACGATCGGTGAGCGCCCCCTAACATTGTATATTCCCGATCGAAAACCGACAGGACAACGGGCTCGTGGCCGGTGGGCAGAGGCGTGGACTTCTAAACCAACAGGTCGCGAGTTCAAGGCTCGGGTGTTGCACACTTCGGGCTTGGGTATGGCTGGCTGACGACGGCAAATAAGCCAGAAATGGCCATTCCAGTCTCCCTTGTTTTTGTCTGTCATACTATTCTGCCTATATATATATTCTACTCAAGATCCAAACCCCTCGCAGCTGTTTCACGCAGCGGCAGAATATCGGCCCAACACGTGTCTGGGCTTTTAGCAAGTATGTGTGTCGAGAGTATGGTATAATACCTTTACCATATGGATTTCATGCTACTCGTAGTACTACTTGTTTCTAGAATGGGGATTACGTGCTTATTCTACAGTAGGTAATTGTCGTCATCTCGAATGTTCTTTGAAATTTCGGTTTCGACCCTAAAAGGTCATGTCCCGGAGATTTAACTCCCAGTCCTTCACTGAGAAATTTCTGAAATTATTCACTTGATTATTCTCTGGAGTTTATATACGAGAAACCGCATAGAGAAGGCCGGGGATCCCACTGAAGAGCCAAACCCTTCGCAGCTGTGTCACGCGGCGGCAAAATATCGTCGAACCACGTGTCTTTGCTTTTAGCAAGTACCTATGTCCGGGGTTACGGTTTAATACGTTTACCATATATATATACAATATTTCGGAGAAGGTAGTTTACCTCAGCGCAGGTCTGCATTCGGATTTATACAGTCTCAATGGTTGTTCTGTATATTTTAGAGTCCATGTGTTGGAGACAGCGGCGGTGGACTATTCTGCCCTTCAGAAGAGGACGGCAGTTTCTTCTGGTATGGAGTGATAGAGGGTGGAACAAATGACTGTAGGGGAAGCTGTGCAATTGTCGGCAAAATAAAGGCAATTCACACCTGGGTAAAAGACACTGCGTTTACACTTGGCCTGTAATAAGCCTTTTGTGTGGAAATTGCAATGTGATTGAATAAACAACTTTTCACCAGGTAGCAAGTTTGGGTGCTGTACAATGTCCATAAAAGCAAAAATGTTGTTCGGATTTCGTTAAATATTTCAGTGAACTCTTTAGTTGAAGCCTATCACCCAATTCCAATGATGGTGAACTAGGCGACTCATGCAACACTCCCGCAGTGCCAAACGACCATGCTCAGCAAGTAATCCGAGATCGGCGACTGTCGACAATAAATAAAATGAAGTAAAAATGTTTGAGGATTTCTAAAGACAGAGTTATTTTTCATCCCAAAATATGTGGCTTGAATGCAATTTATTAACTTGAAGTTTCAAAGTGGGAATGAAAGGGCAAATTTCCCCCCCCCCCCCAAATTACATCGGAAATGAACTGAATTAAGACTGCCTCGTGAAAGTTTTATCCCACTTGTCTGAATCGGAATGGGAAATATAGTGCCCCACAACAGTTTAATGAATAAAAAATGTAACAAGTCCGCCGAATTAACATTAGCTCGAGAAAGATATGACTTTGGGACAGAGTGAAAACGAGTTCCGGGCTGATCCTGATCCATTGCAATAGAATTCCAATGCAGCGTGCAACGCACGATCGACCCTGTCCATCGGCTGAAGCATGCCATCCTACACGATTGTGCAACGGAATGCCGCAATGCAAGCAGGTGAAGGCAAAGAAGCATCACAGTAAAATCAATATAAAGCCAATACAAAAAATGGCTACTTAAATTCCAGGAGTAGAAAGGTGGCGAGGTATTAAAATGGGTGAGCACAGTGGCTGGTCACGCAGACGGCTCGTAGATCTCGGGTGAGCAGAAATCTGCTTCGCCGAACGATCATGAACATAACGCGATTCAAAATGAGGGACTGCCAAAAATGCTCCCACGCAGCCCATGTGGTCACATCCACGACATGGTTTTAAGTCTGTACAGACGGAACTTCGTGCCTGCAAAGATGCATTCAGGGAAATCAGCTGATTTAGGCGCAAGATGTATAATAACTTTGACATCCGACACGGATTGCAGTGACGGAGTACTGATTCCGTCCAGTGACGCAGTAAAAATTTTCTTTTCTTATGATAATACACCCTTTCTCGGGCCTTTGCCAGTGCGAAATTGAGGTCCTACATAAAAATAGTAGGCTGTGGTAATAACGAAGATCGAGCGGACTCAGCGATCGCGTCTCGTACACACACGTCTTTGACTCAATCTGGAGTCCCACTAGCGGCCGCCCTGCGGCTAGTATAACAGGCAAAACAACATTAACGACAACAACGAGGGAGAGTTAGACAGTCGTTTCTGGTTTACTTGCCGTTATCAGTCGGCCACACCAAGCCTTGAAATTGTCAACCCCGAGGGTCAGTGGTAAGGGTGTTGGACTTGTGAACCGGTAGGTCTCTGGCTCAAGCCTCGAGATGAACACATAAGCATGCTTGCAAACCGCCTTTGTGTCGCAATATCACACGCATCGAAGACATGTTGATCATTCTTTATGTGCTATCTCGCGTCCTGCATTTGATTGGCAATCACTTCCGTCATACCAGTCGGCAGTGGTCGATTTTTATCTCGTCCATCGTATAACTGACTTCATTCAGGAAGACGTTTGATATTCCACTTACATTTTCGCTTTATTTTGGAGGCGGTATCAAAGGAGCTTTGACAAGTTGGTGGTGGAGGAGCGTCGTGACCTTATTCTAGTAGTCCATTTGCCTAGGATGGATGCTAATCGTTATTTGTATAGTCAAGGCCGCTTTATCAGCGACAACCCTTAACAAATTATCGTCCTTCATTTAAAGTGTGCTTACAAACTCGTGTTAAAAATGATTATCGGAGGCGATGAATAAGAATGTGTGAATGTGAATAATGATCACATTCAACCTATCAATTGGTGGAAACGACACGCAAATATCACAGGCTGCCTGTTGGCGTAACGGTAAGTTGTTGAATGCTTCCCTTCTCAAAAGGGGACCCAACAGTAGTTAGGACAGTGTCCCGGCAGATTGAATGGTATGTGTTGATTTTAGTGGCTATTGTTCCAGATGGCGTGGAATTGGGTACTCAGACTGGAACTGGAGCTCTGTAGCATAAATTTTATTCATCTGATGTTTCGGATTCACTGGCAAACTCATCATCGCCATAGGAAAACACAATCGTGCAAAAGATGAACTCGCGATCGAGCTGACAGTGGGTGTATTGTAGGAAGAATAGCACTTCCGAAAAGGATAAGGGAGACTCAAATGGCCATTTCCGGCTTCTTAGCCGTCATCGGCCAGTAATACTCAATCCCGGAGCATGTAAATACCGATACTCAAACCTGGCATCTGTTGGCTAAGTGTCGAACGCCCCAACCTTTGAGCCTTGGACTAGATTTCCACCAGGTTGCGATCGTGTATATTAACAGTGTTGAAGAAGAAGAGTCTAGCACCGGAACGCTTTGCTTATTGTTCTGAGCTTTCAGACTCGTGTAGGAGTCCATCATCAGACGTAGTTGCAGCAGCAGAAAAAGCGACAGTTGTAGGGCATGTAGGCCAATCATCGACCGACGGCGCAAGACTGGATGTGACAACGCAGGGCTCTGTACGCCGGCGCCAGATAGATAAATCGATTGACCGAGTTCTCATCCGAGGCCTAGGCTTCAATCACTTCTCGGCCTGTTTTGTTTCTGGCGTGGCCGACTATTTTGTTGGCAGCGAAGTTAAACTCGTGACACATTTCGTAAGTGTTGGCGGCCACTTGTGATAATGCTTCACACAGCCAGTTTATGTTCGTGTATGCACGATCCGACCATGCGCCCAGTCAGACCTGTGTGGTTAAAAGGACAGTTTGGACACTACACTCCAGATTGCTCTTCAGGCTTTAACCGGTCTTTAATTTTTATGACCTTACTGCAAATGTTGGCTTTGTGGCGGTGTGCAATTCCAACACCTAGCCCAACAGCAATGCGCTCGGTTGATTCTGAAACGCCCTTGATGTATGGCAGAGAATGCCATATCGTTGGTTGTGCTGATGTTAGAGTCCTCTGGTGGCGACCGCGTAGGCAGCGACTTATGAATGCCCTCGGATAGCCGTTTTGCACAAACTGGTCGCGGAGATAACGGGCCTCACGTGCTCTGTCCTCCGGTTTGCTGTAATGAGTTTGGATCCGTTTGAAGAGCGTCTTCACACAGCTTCCCCATGTAAGCCACCGGATGTTTACTGTGAAAACTGAGAAGCTGTGTGGTGTTCGTTGCCTTCCTATAAACCGTCGTTTCAAGTTCACCGTTAAGGTTTCGTCTAACAAGCACATCCAGGAAGGGCAACCGCTGTTCCTGTTCTTCTTCCCTCGTGAAATTTATATCAGGGAAGACTGTGTTGGGCAGGCTGCGGAAATGTTGCAGCCTACAACAACCGGAGAGTAGAACGGCAATTTATAGCTCTTTGGATCAAGTCGGTTTAAATAACCGCACGGGTATCCTGTAGGCTGTGTCGAGTTCATCCACGGATCTTACATGAACCAAAAGTAGCATTCATATATGCCAAACGTAACGTGTACTGTGTGAAATGAATGAACTCCGAGTTCATATCTGTGCCCATCTTCCCATGCGTTATTTCTGTAACAGAAACGCGCTTGTCGGAATAGGTTGACGACAGTATGTCTGCGTTCCCTGAGTTAAAAATGTTCTGCAAAGACGGCAAAAACTGAAAGAATGGAGATATACCAATATTTATAAAGAATAGCTCTCATGTTTCAGCGAAAACTAGTAGTCTGACTTGTGCCACGGAAGCAGTTTATTTGACGGTAAGAGCAACAGATCCCCGAGGCCCTGCCGAATTATACTCGTTTTTTGAGCATGAGATTGGAAGAAAACGTGATTTTTTACCGAATAAGTAAAAGAATGAATATCTTTATGTATGCTTTCCATGAAATATAATTGAATTTTCAAGGGCATCGAAAATCAATGAGAAAATTGCATGCTTAATATGTAGTCATTTTTTGCAAAGTTTAGATCTCGAATGCAGCCAAAAATAAGTTTTTTCGAAAGCCGACACCCTGAGGTAACTGAATCCTTCTAGATGTATGCTGCATCATGATTAGTTTTACAACACTACTTAATTTATCTTTTCGAATCGAGAACACATTTCGAAATTTTGGTTGACATTTCATGAGTTAGCACATCTACTGTAAATGACTTTAAAACATGCTCAGGCACCAAATTTAAATGCGTGTTGTCGTTCAGATATTTGGCAAGGCATGCCAGCAAACTCTTTAGACTCGTTCAACGTGACAGCTTACAAATGAAGTATTTTTCACTATCAACTGACCTCTTGCTCTAGACGATGGCCAATAGACGTTTCGCAATGGCATTTCTTTTTGAGAGATGTTATACTTTGTGCAATGCAGTAATGATCACGGAACGGCACCTAAAAGTCAGCCAGGCTAGCAGCAAGTTCTCTTTGTTGTGTATAGGCAAGGTTTAAGTAGGCCTCAAGACAACTTAGGATGCGCAATTTACAATTGGATTTAACTTCTGAGACAGGCGAAGTACAGTGAATGATCGATCTCATGAAATGTTGACTGAAATGCCGAAATGCGTTTCCGATTAGGAAGGATTACTTAGGCGCGGTTGTAATTTTGATTATCTTGCGGCATAATCTTATAAAATTTCGGACTTGGCAGGATTTCAGCTCTTAAATACACTGCATTTCAACATAATGTAGAAACCGCCCTCGGTGAAAAATGATTACTGAAGCAGCATGCATTTCGCCCACTGATTTTCAAAGGTCTCGCAATTTCAAATATAGTTTATAGAAACCACGGACGAAAATATGCTTTATTTCAGTCGTTTGATAGAGAATCAGGTTAATCTTCGTATTTTATTTTCTAAGAGCGAATACTGTTAGGTTTGCAAAAGTTTCCAATTATGAGTTTTTTAAGGCCGCGCAATCTCCAATCATATAGCATCGTACCTGTCGGTTCACCACTGCTTCTCATGAACTGTACAACAAAGTCCGCATTCACTGCAAAATGTTATGGACTCCATATGATATCTTTTTAAAGACAACAATGAATATGTGAATCGGGCTAATCCACGGATTTAACATGAACCCCGAACTAACATTTATGTATATGAACGCGCAAAATGTAGTCTCCGAAAGGAATGAACTCCGAGTTCATATCTGTACCCATCTTCCCATGCGTTATTTCAGCAACAGAACCGTGCTTGTCGGAACAGGTTGACGACAGTGGGCCTGCGTTCCCTGAGCTTTATCTGTTCTACAAAAAGGGGCAGAATCGAAATGGTGGAGATACAGCGTGCTTACTGATGGGTAGATCACGCAGCAGTCTACCCGGTGACATGGTGTTTTGAAATTTTCTTCAAAGTGAAAATCGAAATAGATTTCAGTCGCCACTGAGTGGGTATTTTAAGGTACGGCACATCAAGTTCGGAGATTTTAGGACTCATAGCCGAGACGTTTTTTCGACGCGGTTCTCGCAGGAGCTGACAACAGCATGAGTCGAGACTTGCTCGAATCATGGTCCTCAGGTTCGCAGTTAATCAGCAAGCTCAATGACCTACCGGTACCATATTCAGTGCTGACTCATTCCCTGAGCAGGAGAATCAGTCACGTGGAGAGGGTGCGGACGCTCAACTATCCTGGTGCCAGCGGGTCGAATCGCCGAGTAATCAGCACGTTAACATCCAACACGGATTATTCGATTTCGGCAATTAACGATTCGGGCCCGGGCTGACGAGCCATCATCGCACCCATTACGACCGCCAGGGATGATCCCGAGAGCTGCAAATTATAGTACGCATGTGGCCTCACGACAGCTACGTGCCATAAATAATGCAGTCGTTGTGCCTTCACTACTCTTATCTGCAACCGTCACTGATGATGTGTTCCAATGAGAACCCGAAACGTCAGGCCAATAAACTTCTTGCTCCTGCAGTCCCATACTGGTCAAGGGCAAAGTTAACTGGAAATCTTGTCAGTCAATCACCTGCACATATGACTTTGTTCTTCTATCATGAAGTACCCTTATAATAGCGGCAATCTATCTATCCTCACCGTCCTTCCGAGCATTTGTTCGGGCCGAAGCAACTCGGACGCTGCGGTAGTTGGAAGCAGCCTACGTGCAGCGGGGGAGAAATCAGCCAATGCAGTCATGGACAATTCCAACTAGCCCCAACAATCGCCCGCTCTTTCAACTTAGAAATCCTCTCTTGTGCTAGCTTCTCCCTATTTTTTCCTTGTAATTCCAGGTGAATATTCCTATATATTAGGCCCTGTGATCTAAACAGTGTTCTTGCCCTTGGAAAAATGAAATGCTCACTGAATCAATGAAATTATAATGCTCGCGTTTCGGAGAGTTTGACCGGCTCTATATTATCCAGAATTTTGAATAAAAAACAAATGAGCTAATTTCTTTTGTCCTCTTCTGCTGCCCTCGCCGTCTGACCGCCGTTTATGAATGTTGGGGACCTCTTGCGTTGTGTGTCGTTACCTCAATTGGACTCCCGCTTTCGATGGATTAATTGACGGACCGTGTTTCCTCAGTATACTCGAGCTTTGTGTGACCGTCTTGTCGTGGTCATGACGTATGTAATGGCATGTGACTTTATAGCTCACAGGAAGATCTAGATGTCTGTTTATGGACATCTGAGTACCAAGCCTCAAATTTAAGATGATTCGTCCTTGATGTGCCCTGGCCTAAGTCGTTTGGCCCATGAAAATCAAAACTATTGTCAGTTTCTCAGAAGTGAGTCGAAAGTTGAGTTTGGGTCTAGTTTTCTAGTTGAAAGTTTGTGAACAGGTCAGTGGGTCTGCAATTTCTATCCGGTTTCCCGACGTAGTTGCAGTCTCCATCGTTACAGTTTATTTGATATAAACTGCTGAGTTTTCAGTGGGTGGCAATGCGTCTTTGAGTTGCCTCAAACGACCACAAATGGTTGCCTGGGGTCGATGGGCATTTCCTATCCTGGCGGGTTGAAAAAGTCGCGAAACCACCTTGAAGACTTCTTTTATGTGAGGGTTAGTCCTCCAAATTTTGATTTGTTTTTTTGTGGCCGTCGGCTGTTCATTCGGCGCTTGTTTTGCTCGATAAAGTTGCTTGGATATCCCATCGTCCGAAAGAGGTCATGAAGTTATTGTCGTTCAACTCTTTGTGGGCTGGTATGATGCAGTAGGTCTCAACTCTCTGGAATAGTGCAATACGCAGTCGCGTTCGTGAGAGAGGGGCTGATTGCTGTTGAAGTGTAGTGTTTGTCTTGATTTGTAGTTTTGCTGAAAACGGTAGCTTGCAATTGCCCAGTTGCACACCGAAGCACAAGGACATCAAGGAATGTTAGTTGGCGTTTAGTTAGGTTTTCATCGTGAATTGCATATTCGGGTCAACCAATTCAGAGATTCTTTAAACCGCTCCATGTCAGATGATTTGACAATAGCGAAAGTGTCATCGACTTTAGGAGTCCAGAACTTTAGTTGATACTCGGTGAACACCAAGAATTCTATTTGTTGAAGGCCAGTCTGAAATATGATAGGTATCAGTATTGCAACCCTGCATACTTCATGCGTCTCAGTCGAAAGCGTGCATCAGAATTCCACGAGATTCGTCATTAACTGTGATAGAGGTGTTATGTGTCATACCTCTACCAACTGAACGCTCTACAAAGACCGTTATCACATTAATCATGCAGAATATCAGACTGCTTTATATACTGCCCACATTAGTGCCATTAGTCAGCCGTTTTTTCTTAATGTGTGTGCGACAAAATCGGTGCATCATTATGATCGACACAAGACTGTTCTACCGGGTTATCAAAATTCAACCTTTGCTACAGTCGGTAAGGAAAAAAGGCATTTTCTTCCTGTAAGGCGACATTTGTAGCGGAAGTTGACCCTGATTTATATTCCGCAACAGTAATTACCCTGACTACATCTTTGCACTTCTCTGCCAGAGAGCGTATGTGAGTATGCAGAGAGTTCATCAAAGAGAGCCTTGGCCAACCGAACAGTGTATTTTTAATCCGAGAAATTTTTAATAGGCATAAATAAAAAAATCAACCACAAAACTCGATCAGTTATCAAAAATTAGACTACAAGGGGCATGCAGCAAGATTTTTTAAAAAATTGTTGTACTCAACACACGCTACTATCATCTAAAAGTATAGAGCATTGCTACAACAAAAGAACTCCAACCGCGCACTGCAAAGCACATACTCTTTTTCACACTGTACCCTGACTCCCTCACCTGCCTCTCACGACGCGATCATTCAAAGTACTTACAGCCCTTGAGGTCAAATTTACATTCGCCTACTGCGCACCAAGTGATTTAAAATGAAATATTCTGGCTAGCATACGCTGACCAAATGTTTCGATAAAAATAAAACAGCTGATTGGTCCTCCTATGAATACGACATTGGTTCTTAAAACAAATCTGACTCAGTAATGAATTAAAATTAATATCATAAAGGTTACTGAGTATAATCACCCTCACTCTCTCAGATGCTTTATGAATGTGATTTAATGTCTCTGAATAATAAGTAAGCTCGTTGCGATGAAATAACTTTCATTATCAGTTCTAAATTTTGGAAATAAATTGCTAGTCAAAACCAGGCTATTATTATCTTCGATATATTTTTTACTTGTGCATGTAAAATGGAACATGTTGGTTTTGCCATATGTTCACGTCTGATGAAGGCGAGGAACTTAACGCGATAAAAGAGGTTTTTCTTAAATCAACTCCTGTTTAACCACATTGCACATTCTGAAGTCCGGTACTTTGCTGGAAATGCTAAACTGGACTAAAATGTATGAGTCTCGGTATACACATACTTCAACATACACCGTCTACATTAACATCCAGGATCGTGGCCTATGGCGCAAATAACCCACAAGTGACTTGGTTCAGATTACCTACCTATCCCTCCAGTAGTAACCGGAACAGAATACAGTTGTCACACGCTTTAGTCAGGGCAGGTTTATGACCACGGAAAAAACCGTATTAGGCATTTGGAAAATGAAAAAAATTTTCCTGTTCCACCTCAGTCCCACTAGACCGCAAAAGTTGTGTGCAGGCAACAGTACGCAAAATAGAATTAACTCGTGAAAAAATGTTTTTTCGCTTGATTTTTTCCTCCGCACAGTCCTAAAGTGCGGGACATGCGAACTTAGGCATAGTAGACATTCAGTCAAATCTCCGTAAATGGATCACTATTTAGTATCTTATTGTTTTTGAGGTGGAATTACCGCTGTCAGACGATTCTCGAAGAGTCGACATAAATGAAGGTTCACATCTGTTTTCAAATTTTAAATCATCCCTGCCTGCACCATAAGATGACTGCTCCGAGGTAAATTTCCGTTTCCAGCCTAGGGGTCTGTAATGAACTCGCTAGTGGTGTTCCACACGATTCGCAGACTTGTTTCTGTGTAACATGTGGTTGGCTAGACGTCAATTGTTAGAAACTTTTAGCAACCGATGTCTTTTTTAACAAATAGTGGATTTAACAAGAAAATTGTGAACTTTATAAGCGGAAACCAGAAATAACAACTGAGACCACGCATCGTTTCCCCAGCATTCGGATATGAAGCCCTGGCTTGATGTAGTAATTGGCTGCACTTTTCTTGTGGCTGCTGGATATGGTCTGTGCATTTCTATGGGTTAAATTCTATTTAGCATTTTTCGTATTTTTCTATTCTGAGTCCTGCCGCAAAAACCAACCTTTACCATATTTTGGGACCGTAAAATGTCGTCACGTTGCACTTCGTTGTCTTACTACTTACAGAATCCAAAGTAGCATAAAGATTACTGCTCAGCTACGCGCAGTTCAGATGGTAACATAAACTATTTACCTTGCTTAATTTCCGAGGAAATTAATGCGCGAACTTGGAGTAACTCTTTCGAAACAGGCCTTTTCAAGCACGGTCCGAAATTTGATATGAATATTTGAGCCGAAATCCATCAGCTACTGCGGAATAACCGCTTAATATTCACAAACCGCCAACAGGCAGCCAGTAGTATAGCATTGTGCAATAATTTACCGTACTAACAACACAGGTATTAGCTAAAAGCCCAGACACGCGTGTTTCGCCGATCTTGTGCCGCTGCCTGGCGCAGCTGCGAGGGGTTCGGCTCGTCAGTGGGTCCCCCAGCTTTCCCCGTGTGTTTTCTGGTATATGAACTCCAGTTTCAACTTGCCTTGCTTAACTTCCGAGGAAATTAATGCGCGAACTTGGAGTAACTCTTTCGAAACAGGCCTTTTCAAGCACGGTCCGAGACGAGAAAGACCATAGTTTATGGTTTTTGCTCTCGGTATACGTCTTGGTCGAGAGGAGAATTATACTTTTTGCGTGTTATCTCAATGACTGTTAACCGGTCTTTTAGTATATGCTTTAGATTCATTAAGTCCGAATGTGTTACTAATTAGTGAACTGCACTATTTTGTAATATTTTAGTTGCGTCACGATGTCGGTCGTCAGAATACCTATTTGTTAGCCGTCCGCGATTCGCATTCTACAGAATATGACCGATTAACTAGTATGACTTTCTCTAAATAATCTTAAATTCAAGTCTTGACTTTCAAGAATCATTTAGTTTCTGAATAATTTTCTGCCCCACAAAACCTTTCACTTGCACTTGTAGCTTGTAAAGTGCGTCGTGCATGTTTTATCAAAGCATTGTCACCAATTTACATGTAGATGTTAGCTAACTCTTAAAAATGCCTGACTGG